GTGCGTGTGTAATATATTATGAAAGATTATAAGAAAAAAAAGGAGAGAACAAAGAATTCAAAGTATCATCATTTATGTATACGCACATACACGCATTTTTCTCCTCTTCTTTGGTATATACTATATATGTGTTTGTTTGTGCAATAATTCTCCTAGTCCATTATCCACATCACTCTAAAAAGCTTGAAAAAAAAATAAAATAAAACATTAATATAAAATAAATAAATCTTCAGCGATAAAATAAATTAACTAATTGCAAACACATTGCATACGTATTCGTTGTAGATTAAAAATGTTTAACTATCTCTAAAAAAATAATATTATTGGAAACTATGATACGCTTTTATAAACGTGAATAAAAAATAATTTTTTGAAAGAGAGAAAAGCGAGAGAGTAAAAAAAGACAATGGCATGGGAAAATAATTTAAAACAAAAACAAAAAAAAAACAAAATAAAATACAAAAAAATAAATATAAAAAATGTAATGCGTTTGGCAAGAGATGGGACAGCAATTGTTTAATAAAAAGTAAGAGTAATATATTGACCTGTGTATGTAATAACAATGAGAGTATATAAAATGTAATATAATATAAAACTGGAAATAATAAAGAAACAAATGGGTGAGATTGTAAGATTTAGAAGACGAGACATACGATAGAGTGATGATATTGTGAATGTACTTGTAAAACAGTATGAAAAATCATTAACAATCCCTGAACGCAAAGGAATATTGTGTATGATCTTACATCAAGAAATAGAGTCGTCTATTCTGATTTATCTAAATAAAATATTTTTATGAAGCAAATGTTTTCTATCGACTTTCTCTCCATTTCATTTTTATTCCTTTTTTAATGTTGATTGTTAATTTTATTTTAATAAGGTTATTAAATGATAAGGGTGTGTGTAACATTTCGTTTTAAATTGTATTATAATTTTGTTTCATAATAATAATGACAATCAATCATTGTTGCTTATAGTAATATATTAGGTCGAGTCATAAATTTCAATCGCACTCGATAATGCTTTTATAATATATATGTTTCTTCATCGTTACTAGTATTTTAAATTAATTTATTTTCTATTGTTTTTGTTAGTAAAAGAAATTTTATAGTTTTAAATAAAAGATATACTAGAAAAAATTTTCAAAAAAATATATATCAACAGTTGCTACAGCAAAAATGTTTTTTCTTTTAAAAAAAGAAGAATAAATTTTGTTAACTTTTACTCTCTTAGATGCCTTCGTTTTTGACTTCGGATTTTTTTAACTAACAATAAATGAACATCTCTGAGTATTAGGTTATATATTTGTTACAAGTCTTTGTTAAAAACTAAAATTGAATAAAAGAGACACAATATTTATTCACCAGAAAGGAATACCTTAATTTTATTTTTATAAGTCTTCTTATCCTCTCGAATGCAAAGGATGTCTCATAAAATAAAAAAATACGTAATAAAATTAAATTTATATGGAATGAGGGAAGATGTGTGAATTAATAATTACATAATTTTTGTTCAGTTTCAGCTTTAATTGAGAATCTCAAAATAAATTTGTGGTTAAAGTAATCGAAGATAATTATTATGAAAAAGAAATCATTCTGTTTCGCTTTTATTCATGATGGACAATTAAAGGTTCTTTTTTGTTTCGCTTTTATTTCATGACGAACGAGTAAAAATAAAAAAAAAATTGTTGTATATATTATTATTAATAATAATAATTTTAGGCATTTTATATTCTATGCACTGTGATTTTTATTATCACTGCAAATTCTTTTTCCCATCTTCCATATTTTGTTTGCGTTATTTTTTTTTATATATATATACATATTATATATAAATAAAATGACTGGTTGAAGTATCAAATAAAATAAGAAAAACAAAAAAAGATCTTAAATTTATCACATATTATTCCAAATATTTAAAGTATTCAAAAAATTGTTGTAAAAGATCATTTTTGTCATATTTTTGTTATCATCTATACTCCCGTTGTAAATTATGTATATCTGGTGGTATTTCCTTTGAATACATATTTTACATTACAGATGAAATAATTTAACTGCACTGCAGAAAATTATTGTTATTCAGGAAGTAATATTTTGCAATACACATCTGTAACTAAATCTCATAGTTTATGTATATTATATTTATTTATTTATTAATTTTTATTAGTTTGTGTGCAGTCTTAGTTATTGTTTATCTGAAAGAAAAAAGGAATTAATATTAATTTTTGTATACAAAATAAATAATTAACATATATTCAAAAATAAATTATATGATTGGAATTGACGTTGCAACATAACAATGTTGTAACGGGAATCATTAATCAATCATTAATTTCATTCTAACATGAAGTGCTACGTCATACAAACATTAAATGTAAGGATGAAAAAATTCATGTATATGCAAGAAAAAATCACAAGTATAAACAGAATAAATATTGTTGTATACGATGTGAACTTACAAAACTTTTCCAATTTGTTGAATATCTAAAATTTCTTTAAAATTTTTCTTCATCAAGTCCATGCTTAAAAAACATCATGACCGGCATGGATTCACCATCTATTTCTCTGTATTCCATAAGACCAACTAAACCATCGATCTCCATAGATTCACCGGTAAAAAACTGTAGTTCCTTGAATCTACTAAGTATATCCTTCATAACTTTATTCATATTGGTCTTGAAAACCTCAACTTGATCGGGAGATTTTTCTTCTAATCTGGCTACTAATCTAATATTAAAAGAATACGAAAGAAATCATTTTTAAAGAATAATACAATAAACAACAACAAAATTATAATACTTAATCTGCCACTTACTTCTTCATATAATCTTTTAAGTATGATGTGTACGATTTTTTATCCGAAAAAGCGAACGTTTCTTGAAGTCTATGATTCAAGACTATATCGACTCCTGATTCGACGGCTTCATCGGTGCATTCTTCTGCTTCTTCAGCAGACGGATTGAAACCAGCGATATCTATATCACCAGCTTTTCTTGTGATCAGCTGTATTTATTAAATAGAATATTTAATTATGTAAATACATGATAAATGCATTTATAATTATAGTATTCTAAATTTCATATAAGAGTTACCTTTCCATACACCTCATAAAGGACATCATCAATAAGTTTTATTTTATAGATGTCCGCAAACATTTCATCTCCTAGAATAATAAAATTTTCATTACTTAAATATAATGTTCTAATAATAAAAGAAAAGCTACTTCCAAGATATGTAGATGTGATTTTCTAAATCAAATGTTCCATTGTAGACACGTAGAGGTTATAAACGTGTACATTCAGTTATAATTAATAAGGACATAACTATGTTCGAAATTTTTATACTAATGATTAAAACTATTTTAGAACAATACGATAACAATGTTTAGTATTCGAAATAATAAGAAAGATACAATATTGTTGCAAGATACATATAACTGTCATTATTCGACCCAGTTTAAACAAATGTTGAAAACATTAATAAAATTAATCCGATTACAAAAATATATATAAATAATGTTAATAAACAATTAAAATAAACGAACTTACCAGTAAAAATGTCTTTGTAAATCCTCATATTGACGGATTGAAACGATTACTTTGCAGCTATTACTAAACACAAGCTACATTCACTGAACAGATCAAACCGGAAGGGAGAAGAGGGCGGGTAGATGAACTGTGGCCAACTTATATACCAACTTTCTAGCTTGTGTTTGTGTTTATATATATATATATATATACATAACACATACATTGACGTTCATATTTTCTTCATATCCTGCTAATGAGATCATTTAAGTTATAATATCATTATTTGGAATATATAACTAATAAATTTATATATACAGAAAAAACATATATCTATCCGAAAATCTTTTTTAAGTATAAAAGCATTCAATAAAATGATACCAATATTTATTATTAATTTTTATTCATTATCTATTTTTATTTGTCATTTATATACTCGTAATATATATATACTCTTTTTTAAATTATAGTTATCTTGAAATTTAAAATAATGTATGCTTTTTAATATTATTATTTATTTTATTATACATTCAAAAATATTTTATACTTTGTTTTCTCAACTAATAACTTTCAATCTTTAAAACTTTACAGCCAATCACATTTGAATTACCGACATATTGAATTATTGTTGAATGCATGCATAGATGCATTATTAATGTTTGTATATAAAATAATAAATATGCGTCATTTAAAATTATGACTTATTCATTACTTACTTATATAATTATCAAAAATTTGATTATAAAAGAATTTTTCTTAATTTTTTTAAAAAATTATATATCACGAAAAAATATTACTAGTACAACCAATGAGCGTTGAGAATTGGAAAGAACGGAAGTTAGTTACATTAAAGCGAAAGGAAGAAGATGGCTGACTACATAATAAGGTAGGATAGTAATGAGTGAAGCGATCCCATTCGTACGATAATTATCGTACGCGTACGATAATTAGAGGCCCTGTACGATCCAAAATTCGTGGTGTACGATCCATTTGGAATTTCGAAAACTTGATGACCTTTTTTTTTTAGTCAACAAATTTTGGATTGGACCACCCCTACCACCACCATCACCCATACCACCACCACGATCTGTGTACGATCCGTGTACGATCTCTGTACGAACAAGTCTACGTTTTTATCGTTTTTATGATAGGGTTTAAAACTTGATAAAAAAAAAAGGTCATTAACTTTGAAAAAGTTGGAACTTAGACACTTTTTCCACATTTTGAAAATCTCGTCCGAGAAATTGTCGGATTTCAAATTTTCCCGGGGCGTACGATAATTTTACGCCCCTGTGTCGATCAGACGAACTAAAGTCTCTAGGATCACTGGTAATGACTAAGGCATGAACTCACTTCCGGTTTTAACTTACGAAGAGGAATATCGCGCTTGTGTGATCGGTTTCTCTAATTCTTATTTGTTTCTAATAAACATTGACTTACATTAAATTTTAATTATAATAACGCGTAAACGTCTGTTATTACATTTAGAAATAAATATTGAAAATAAAATCATGGATAATAGTAAGGAAGAAAATAATATTGAAAAAGATGTTGAATCTGTTAACGAAGAGGTTAAGGAGGACAAGCCGGTTGAAAATTTGAATGATGATATTAATAAAAAAGAAGAAAATGTTGAAACAGAAGAAAGTAAAGAAACGGAAAAAAATAAAGAAAAGGAAGAAGTAAAAGAAGCTACAGAACCAGAAGAAGAAAAAAATAAGGAAGAAGAAAAAACTAAAGAAGTAGAAGATAAGAAAGTAGAAGAAACTAAGGAAATAAAAGAGTCCTCGGAACCAACAACTGAGTTGTTAGAACAGATTAAGGATCAAATAGAAGTAAATATTTAATAATTTCTTTTTTATGTTATTTCAATTTTTTTCTTTTATAGAATAGACAAAATATGTTTATTGGTATTTAACACGTGTAAACACGTGTTTTTTTATCACCCATTAACACGTGATATTTTTTGTTTCTCACTCTATCCGTAACTTAAGATAATTGTTTTAAAATCAATAGAGAGTGGATTATTTTGAATTAAGATTAATGCAAAATTTGTTTGAATAATATTTATAATCATTTATTTATTACAGTTCTATTTTGGTGATGTGAATATGCAAAGAGACAAATTCCTTACCGAGCAAATAAAATTAGAGAACGGATGGATACCCTTAACGGTAATGCTCAATTTCAATATGTTAGCCACTATGACCACCAATTGTGATGTTATAGTTAAGGCTTTAGAATCAAGCGAGTTAATTGAAGTATCAGAGGATAAGACAAAAATAAGACGGTCACCTAAATTTCCTCTACCAAAATATGATGAAGAATATAGAAAAGCGCAGGAAGCAAGAACAGTTTATATGAAAGGATTTCCATTAAAAAATACAAATATTCAAAAATTAAAAACTTTCTTCAAACAATACGAACCTTATGAGAACGTTGTTGTAAGTATTTCTAGATATTTTATATATTTTTAATAGCATTTATTATTAATGTCAAAATTGATTGTGTAAAAATGATCACAATCTCTTACTTATAATTTATTATTCTTTAGATAAGAAAATATCAGGACAAAGATAAGGTGCTACACTTTAAAGGTTCAATTTTTGTACAATTTAAAACCTTAGACGATGCTAAAACTTTCATGGAAAGAAAATCTGTTAAATATAATGACGTCGAATTGATTAGAAAATGGGCGTAAGTTTAACTATAATGTAATATTAATTATATACAATTATATCAATTTTAAAATAATTTCTTTTTTTGTTTTTTCAATGGTTAGGGCGGATTATTCCGTTGAACGTGCAAATAAACATGAAGGCAGAAGGCAACATTATCAAGAAATGAAAGAGAAGAAAAATGAATCTGTAAGTACATGCATTAAAAATATTTAAATATGAAAGTATAGAAAAGTAATTAATAATATATCTTTTATAGTTACAGAAAGATGCTAAAGTTTTAGAGAGTGTTAATTTACCAAAAGGTGCTATTATTCATTTAAGCGATATGCCAGATAAATGTAGGAGGGATTTAATCAGAACATGTTTCGAAAAGTACGAAGTTCCTATTGCTTATGTTCAGTATGAATGTGGTGACAAAGAGGCATGGATTCGTTTCCAGGAAGAGAATGCAGCGAAAACAATTTTGGAGAAATTACCAAATAAAACAGTGAGTTATTGATGATTATTTTAATTTCAATATTAAATGTAAATGTTTAATTTACAGTTGTTGCATTATAATCTTATACATTTATTTTTATTCAAAAGATCAAAATCGATGAAAGTGAAATTACTTGTCGAGTATTAGAGGATGAAGAAGAACAGAAGTATTTGGATGAAGTTAAAAAGTATATCGTAAATGTTAGACAACGTAACAAGAGCAGAATGGACAATAGAAAAGGTAAGAATTTTGATTAAATATAAATTAATTATATTGTTAATATATGAAAATATAAAATTATAACATGTGATGAATTTTGCCATGCTAATACTGAGAAATCTATAGGATTTAATCCATAGGATTTCGTTGAGTTGAAATTATTCTCTTAATTCTGATATTTTGTAAAAATGAAAATTAACTTGCTTCTTTTCGAGGATTTTCTATTCATTAATATGGAAATAATATTATTTTAGGTCGTTCGACATATAAGGGAGGAAGAAAAAGGCATATGTCTCCTCCAGCAAATCAACCTCCAGTAAAAACGCCAGCCCAGGAATAATTATTTCTTAAAATATTCAACTATGCAAGAAATAAAACAGGTAGATGAAAGTTTTTCGTCTTAAACCTGCTATGTATATTAATATAATTCATGTTATTGTAACCATTTAATTATTTACAATGCACACAGACAAACTTTAAAAAATTTAGAAATGCTAGACATTATTTTTTATTATTCCAATTTATATTTTCTTTTTTTGCGGATAACTGAAAGATCTATGTTATATAATAATGAAAATTAATTTATAAACAAAATCCGGGTAAGAGAAAAAAAATGATATATTGTATTATTATATATGTAATACCTTAAAATATGATTATTTTTATACGATTATTGAAAATCGTAATAATTAGATACTGTAATAATATTTTATCATACACGATGAGAACCGTTAAAAATAAAGTTCGTAATAATGTTCCTGAGATTAAATTATATATTATTATTATTATTATTATTATTAATTTTAAATCTATTCGTAATATTCTTTATTCTTTTCTTCTTTTTTTTTGTCACTTTTGCAAATAATAATACATATATATATATATTTATTTAGACGTACATATCGTACCGATGGAGTATTTATAAATAAGTGTGTTTATTGTTTTACAGTGAAATTTACAAATTGTATTTTCGAGCTAAAATCGCTAATTGAATTTCACCATCGTTTTTAATTTATTTTTATTTTCTTTTTTATTATTTTACGTGCTTGATAAATTCTTTTTTCTTATCTTTTGTTTTCTTTTTTACGTACGATCGTAAACAATATCGTTTGAAGTATGACTACGTAATGCGAACATGAGAAGGATCGTTTGCGAATAATGTTTGCTTAAAAAAATGTTTACGCGATAATGTAGTTTGAAAATGATCAAAGTCGATACGATTAGATGATTTTTTCTTTTTTCGTTTTTATTTTTCTTTTTGTTTTTTATTTTTTTTCGTGTAAGTTTTACGCTAATTACAAGAGTAATTTTAATTACACGATATTATTACGGCCTTAAATCATTATTAGCTTCTTATCAACGAAGAAGTGTATTTTATTTAGTCCTTTTACGAATGAAGGATTTAGTTATTTTCTATTTTTTTCCTCTTTACTTTGACGTGATTTAATCATCGAGAGTTTTTATTTTATTTTTTTTTTTTTTTTAGATTTATTATCGTACACGAACGAATATGTATTTACTTTTTCCTTCCCTCTTGTTTTTTATTTAATTTTTTTTTCTTGTTTTTTTTTTTTTAAGAAATCGAACTTACGTAATCTTTTAGATTTTTACTCGTCGTTGAGACCATGTTTTTTTTTTCTTGCTTTCTTTTAATCTATTTATTCGAATGATCGAGAGCACGTCTCTTTTCTTGCTTACGATAAAATCGTAGCATTTGTCTTTATTTATTTATTTTATTTTTTTCTTTATTTATTTTTAGTTTTCAAAAGAGAGATATGGATTCTTTCGAAGTTGCAAATGCCACTACGATTTTCTTTTCGTATTTTTTTTTTAAATATTATATATATATATATATTTATATATACATAATACAGTCGATTTTATTTTATTTCTTATTTTAAATATTCTCGAAGAGGTTCCTATCAAATACACAGGCTCTTTTTTCATTTACGAATTCGAGTTATTGTGAGTTGGTCGTGGAGAAAAAAAATCTATGTATATATATATAGAGAGAGATACATACATATACACAGTGTTTAAGGTTTTAATGGGTAAACACTATTAGCGTATTCTATTCCCGAAAATAAGAATAAACTTTTATACAAATATCAGCTTATTTAAAGCTTTTTTACAAAGTTATAATAATCATAAGTACAACGAACGTTCGCATATTTTTAATTTGGAAATTTAAGGACAATCTTGTTGCTTAGTTTTTTTATTTGACATATCTTTAAGTGAGTCTTACATTTATGTAACATATTTTTAATTATATTCATGCATAGAATACGCTAACACCGTTTAGCTGAAAAAACCTCGGACACCTTGTATGATATATATATATATATAAAGTTTATACGATTTCGACGGAAGAAAATAATTTATATCTATTCATTTTTCCGTTCTTTTCTTCTTCGAGCACAGCACTCATTTTAATTTAGTTTTTATTTTATTCATTTATTTATTTTTTCTTTTTTTTTTAGAAGTACACACGCTCACTGTTTTTTTTTTCTTGGCGTATATGCATCGATATTCGTAGAGACAGGGAGAGTTATTTACGTTTTTCTTATAACGAATGTTAAGTATACTTGTGTGTGTGTATGTGTTCACGTTGCATATACTTCATTATTTTTTTAACTCTATTATAAAGAGTTTGTTTTCTTTTATTCAAATATATATAGCAACATGTAAGACAGTACTTACACAAGTGTATACGTAAGAACATTCAAATCTTTCACTTGAGTTCCATATTAATTTGTTTGTTTTTTTTCTTTTAGAAGTAAACTTCAATGTAAAATGTACATTTTATGGCATAGTACGCGGACGAAGGTACTGATTTTCAAAAACTATTTCTCTCACTTTCACTCTATTTCTTTCGTACAGACTTGCATACATGCATACACACACAAATATTCATCATTGCACCTTTGTTATCCCTAACGAAAGAAGAACACTCTTAGAACACAGTTATCTGAAAGATAAAACAATCTTTCCTTAAATGATCTTTTTTTTTTCCTAAAGATAATCATTAACGATTGATTAGATGTCCATGTGTTTGTGTAAAAAGGCAAAACCAGTCTTTTATCATCGATTATCCATTTCCCGATGATGATTAATAGATATAAGTTTGATTTAGTCTTATTTAGAATCTAGACTGGGTCGTGGCCTCACAGTCGACGAAAGTCACCCTCTTTGGTCTGATGGTGCCGCCCTCTGGCGGCAACCCCTAATGCTATACAGATATCTCTTGTATCTGTACTCGTTTTTTTATGGTATTGGTATTGCCAGGTGTGCTACTACTTAGAGAACTGGTAGTTCTAACTGGTGGTTTTGGTGGTACTGGATCTTTGTGGATTGCATTACCAGCAGCAACATTTTGTTGTTGTCCTGTTCTATTGTCCACTTTTGTTTGTCCATCTTCGTTCATTGTTTGCTGTTGGCCTTGAGGAGGCTGTTGCTGTTGTTGTTGCTGTTGTTGTTGTTGTTGTTGTTGTTGTTGTTGTTGCTGTTGTTGTTGTTGGTGTTCTTGAACAGAAGGACTTCTTGCTAATGTTGTATAAGATGGGGGTGGTTCTTGACTAGGTCTATTCGTATTTTCTGTAGCCTTAACTGCGACAGGTCTCGTAGTCATCGGTAAAGATTCTTGTCCATTCGGTGTACAATCCATCGCAGCTCTTTTTTTGTCACGATCACGTTGATAATAAATGCCAGCGAATATGAGCATGTTTAGGATTAGTAAAATCAATCCAACACCAACTGTGATGGCTAATGCCGTTGTTGTACTGTAGTAATGACGAGAGGCTAATCTTTGAAGTAATTCATTGTCCTCTTCGGATTCTTCTAAAATTGGGGTGATATTTTCAGCTATTGTCTCGTCATTTGTTGATGTACTGCAAGCTGTTGTCGAGGAGGCTCCACTGGTTTTTGTTGTACCCGTTAAGGGAAGTGGTGTATACCATTCGTCTCTAACTGGACCTGTTAAATAAATTATTATTGTTATTGGTCCTGAGGAAAGGATTGAAAAGTAAATTAATTATTTAGTAATTTTTTTTTTGAGGGATATGCTAGTAATGTAATATATTGATTTAATTATTAAGTTAGATAGTAAGAATAAAAGTATTGAAATGTTTGAGATTATACCCGCATAATAGTGTTCTTCCCGTTCACGAAAATGATGATGTCTCATAGAAACGTCATCGTCACCTGGTCGATGAAGTTGGGGTATCAGATTTAACCAGACAGCCATTTTGTGACCTCGATAATGGCTCTTCATTTTAGGTTTCAAAGCTAAAATCATAGCGATTATATGTGAACATTACGTTAAAATATATGAATAAATTGTTTTTTTTTCTTTAAATAATTTATATACCTATCGTTAAATATTTTTGAGAATTAGTCTCATATGGTTCCCACGTTAGACCCCGAAAACGTGTTTTCTCTTTTGGTGTACCATAATCTACGGATTCGATTTTGTGAGGCTCGTTGGGGTTTCCGGTTTTAGCGAAATTGGTGAAAAATGTGAGGACGGCTTCTGCGACACCCTGATCTTGTCGGGAATAATTACGAGGGAAGAAAGTACCACCTACTACCAATGGTAATCCAAAAATATATGGAATGTCCTCTCCGCGTACACTACCCAAACGCTGAAACAAAATAATAAACAAATTAATAAATAAAAATATATAATATATACATAGGGACTTCATAAACAATATTTATTTTTATAAAAATGATATATATTATATTTTTCTTTTATTTATTTATTAATAAAATTATTCTTAATTACCTATAAGAATTATATATATTTTATATAAATGAAAAGAAACAAAAATAAGATTAAATGCGAGGATTATATTTGAAGAAGATATCGGTGTAAAGAATTATTTAAAATCTAAAGTCACTTTTCTCTCAACGATCTGTCTAGTATTTACGATCGTAAACACAAAGTAAGAACGTGGGTGGGGGGTGCTTATTATAATTAGCCGTATAAATGAGAAGTGAAGCGACTTCAACGTTACGACCCCGTTCGGGCTAATGAAACTTTCTGTGTTAAAATGGGGAGAAAGTACCTTACTCTTCCTCTCCGTCTCTCTCTCTCTCTCTCTTTCTTTCTCTTTCTCTCTCTTCGTCTTTTTCTTTGCTTACGAAAAGGAGACGAAGAAGAGGTAGAGAAGGTGACTCATTTCGCTAGTTAATCTCCGAGTGCACGTAAATAAGTTGGCTATACGGGTAATATACGTAACTATACAAAAAGTTTGAAAAAAAAAAGAAACAAATATACCTGCATATATGCACATATATAAATATCTATGTATAAAAAAAAGAGAAAAGAATATATACGTGCCCTGGTAATTTTGAAAGTGGACTCCGATCAATAAATAAAACAAATTTATTTTTTAATAGAAATTATTTTAATCGAATTTTGCAATATTTTGACTTATAAATCCACAATCATAATTATCGATATATTTTTTTCCTCATATATACATATACAGGAATATATACATATATGGACTATATATTATAAAAATGGTGTAAGTCAATTTAAGAAGAAAAATACATCGTTACAATTTTTTATTTATAATTAATGAAAATATATATCAATTTTATAATTTGAATTAAATTGAAAAAAAAAAATATATATATATATTAACTTTATCATGTAAAAAATAAAATCTGTATATATATATATATATATATATATATATATTTCTTTATCTCTGTTTTTTTATCTTTCTTTCTTTGACGTATATAAAGGAATAGAAGAAAAAAAGTAAAAGAAAAAGAAATGAAAGAAAATAGCTTCGGTGAAAATAAGTAAAGAAGGATACAGGAGGATTCGCATTCGCAATTAAGATGCATCCTCTCTTAATCTATGTTTAATCGTTGTCGTTCCCTAAAGAGTTAAAGATAGTAGAAACTGTGTAATACTATTATACATTAAACCTTTAAGTATCGTGATCGTTATTTTCCAAGATCTTTTCTTAAACGAATCACGTGCTTTCAAGTGGAATGAATTGCATCAAAGATTCTTACTCGTTTAATTTGAAATCAAATCTTTTATCGATTACACATTACGCACAATCCTTGAATTCAACAATATTTCTCTTACTTTCTTTTACACTTTTTTTTTTTCTTCTAAAATTAAAGATAATATTTTCAAAATCTGTTAGTCGTCGTCGTTTATTTTTTTTTCTTTTGGGTCTTGATTCTCTTTACTTTTTTTTTTCACTCTTCTTCACCCTCTTTTTTCATTCTCTTAGCTTTTAATTTGCCTAACCTTCGTTTAAATTTTCCAGAGGTAATACGAAGCTGGAGCTTCGAGTTTCGGTTTGACTCGAGCAAAGTCAAAGGGGGAGTTCGAATTTTCGTAATAATTTTCTCTCGGTAAAGAAAGAGAGAGAGGGAGAGAGAGAGAAATAGTGCTAGATACATACACGTACATACGTATATATATATATTATCACACATAGCTTGTATAAAGTTATGAAACGAACTATCATCCTTCGTTTGTGGCTCACTTGGAAGTTGATTAAATTTCCTACCCCGTTTTATATATGACCCCTGGTGTTAGAAGTAGAACGATCGATTCGACGAAATCGTACGGAATTCAATCCTCAAAAGGGAGAAAAAGACAGATAGATAATGAAAGAATGAAATAAATAAAAGAATCCTATCATGGGAAATGAAACGAATTATTTAAAAGATGATCCTAAGGTCTAAAGGATACTGTCAATTCAAAATATATAAATATGCATCACAGATTAAAATTATTTGATCATCTTACGAAATGGTAGACGTGATTCTAAACAAAATATTTAATCGATATTACGAAAATATTTTCCAAATGAATGAAGTTTCTTATTTTTTGTACTTTATTATGAACGTAATAGTTCAAATCGAAAGTAATTTAATTCATTTATCGTACAAACAATTAATTTTCCATATCAAAGTTTCTCCAAATTTTCAACTTGGAGTTCATTAATCCGAGCAAGTATTTGACAATTCTGTGCATCGTTGTCAAATTAATTTTAAATTTATTTTTAATCTTTGCTCGTTAAAGAATTATTAAATTTTCTTCAAATTTCTATAAACATCGAAATTTAATTACGCTATCTCATATGAGATCGAGGAAAATCATAGATTTACGAAAAATTGTATACGTACATATATACCTAACCTTAATAACCTTATAAGTAAATCAAATAATTTAAATCATTATATACTAATAATATATGAAATGAATAATATTTAGAGCTAATAACGGAGACGAAATTACGGGTAAAATTTCAAAGATTAAAGATGAACATTTTGTGGTGAAGGGAAATAGTCTCCATTTAATTTACGTCTTTAAAGTCCTTCACTTTATTTTTATCCAACATATACATATAATAATGATAATAATAATAATCATTACCATAATAATAAAATCATGATTATCATGATCGTAGTCATGATGATCGTGACGTCGTAAGGATTGTCTTCGTCGTCGTTATCATCATAGCCAGATCATGGAATATGGCATTTTAGATGAGAGAAACGTGATCGTCCCCCTTTTGGTAATAAGCTTTCACATCCTAACCCAGGAATAGTGAACCAGGTAGTGTCTTATTAAATCAACGTCTACGTCTTGAAATCATGGCTAGCAGTTGCCGTGAATGTTCATGGTGAAACATCGAGGAGTAAGAGTAGAGGATGAGAAGGGGTGATGGTGGTGGTTTCTTGTTGTAAAGAGGGATGGATGGTAAATGTAGAGAACCTCCTGGTGGGGTGGATACACAGCACGTAAGTTGAAGCTACGAATATCTAACACCTTAACCAAGAAGGTTACTAAAGTTTACGTTGAGAAGGAACCTTCTCTTTATCCCTCTCTCTCTCAAACACACACACATACACACGTTTTGTATCTATCTTTCTTGCTTTTGGTCTTTTGTCCTAACTATAACTATATCTATCCTTTTCTCCCTTTGGCAAGTCGAGTTAATAAAGTTAACTCAGACTTAAGCAGTCTCTCTCTCTCTCTCTCTCTTTCTCTCTTTTTCTCTCTTTTTCTTTATCTACCTATCTCTTTTTATTTCCATCCATCTATCTGCTTTTGGCTTTGCCTTGGCTGAACCTTTCTTCATTGGAGAGGAGGCATCTTAAACGAAATTCTTCCTCATTCCTCACCCTTCCAGTCTCGTTTTTGGCCCCTGGTCCCACAAACCCATCATCCCTTTTACCTTACCTTACCTTACCTTCGAGAATCTTGTATAAAAAAAAAAAAGAAAAAACTTTAAGAAGAAGGAATCCCTCTTCTTTAGCTTCGGGCAAAAAAATTGCTTCGGTACACAAGTATTAATAGAAAAAAAAAGACTCTTTGAAGAAATCGACAAGAGTTAAGAGATATTCGTGATTACTTTAAGAACATTTTCTTTTTTTTTTACGATTTTGTGTTAATAATTATGATTTATATATATATGTATATTAAATAAGTTGATAAATACGAAGAAAATGATATTTTATGATTGGAGGATTTATTAAAAATGCAAAATCAATTAAAATGGTGATGCTATTCAATTTGTGGTAGTATTTTAAATTAATGATCAGCATTTATAAGCAAATATATTTGTAGTCTGTGTATCAAAAATAATTATTAAAAATAGTCAGCATTTGATATAGAAGATGTTCCAGTATTTATAATTAAATATTAAAATTTATGTACTCTTTATTAATATATAATTTTAAATGCAACATTTTTGGAAAATGTTGAAAGAATATTGATTATTCATTTAAAATACGTACCAACAAAATATTATCTATATCAATTGATTCAATTCAATCTTAACTATAAATAATACAATTATTTATTTAAAATATATAGAAATAAATTATTAATTGCATTAAATAAAGTATTGTGTAAATAAACAACTAACATTTTTAATATATTATTTATAACACAGTCCTGATTCATCAACCAAACTCCGGTGTTATAAATTATTGATCGTTCATTTAACAAAAATGTTGACCCCCAAAAAAGGATTAAAAGTGAATAAAAATAATAATAATAAAACGAACCTTAAGATGGCCGCTGTCCTTGGTCTGATAATCGAAGTGATAAAAATATGTCTGGGCTCCTCTTCTTGCATGATAAAATGCAATCCTCATTAACGGTGCCACTGTGTGACCATCGCTAAGTGCTTCCATTGTTGAATCACGTATTATTATAGGATGTAGAACAGGCTTGTCCCAATCTGTGTATTCGTTCCTCACTGCTGAAAATATCTCATTGAGATGATAAACGTAAGCGTTTCGAATGAAGGTACGTAAGATCCGATTTCGATGATCCTCTTCGAAGCCATACTGAATATCATTCGCGTTAAAGTCGAGATTGGATTCGGTACTGGAAACTCCGAGGATCAAGGGTACTTTTATAAAGGCATCACTGGCTCGTTCCATGTCAAGACCTGGATCAGGATTGTTTTGGTCCACGGGTAAGCCCGGTCCTATTCGGGGTACGAATCTATTTTAACAAAATTATTTTTTATTATTTCAATAGATTTTCTTATGTTTTTAATTCATTATATTTATTTTTATTATTATAATATATATAAATAGTAAATATTTGTATTATCAAGTTAATCATTTTATTATCTACATATATATATATATATATTTTATTTTCTGTTTTATTTTTATTATTTTGTATATATGTATATGTGTATGCATATGTAAATTAAATACATGCTATTATATGGTAAAATATTTAAAAATGTAAATAATTAAATATTATATTTACTATTATTTTTTTTATATAAATTAATAATTTTTAAAATAAAAATATAATATATTATACTAAATTATAAATAGTAAATATAATTATACTAAATTATTATATATAATTTTTTTTAAGTATACGCTAATCTTATTTAATTAATAATCTAATTTAATATTATATTTAAAATAGTATATTTAAATTAATAAATTATAGAACAAAATAAAATATAACAATATGAAACTAGTATATTCGATTGAATCAAATAGCTTTAAAATATTTAATAAAAAAAAAAAACTATAAATAACTTTTAAAAAAATACCTGATCTCAGGAAGTTCGACAGACATTAGAGCTTGCAAAGATACACCTCGAAGACAATCAGCAATATCTTCGTCGTTTTCAGTAGGACAGCCTATTTGTTCAGCAACTTTGATCCTAAGATCGTTTGGATCGTGCACAGAAGCCCATGGGCTCAATGCCGAGCCACTTGACAATACAACGCGATGAAATAGACCTGGAAAAAGAAAGAGAAAAAAAACAAGAAAAAAAGAGAAAATCAAATAGAAGTAAAAGTAAAAAAGAAATATACAACAAGTGATAAAATAGTGTCGTCGTTTTGTATAGGATAAGTAACAATATGCGAGAATAGTAGGTAGTAAAGTTTTTCATTCTTCTACTCGACACTCCTCCTTGAACTTATTATTCGTAAAATACTTCAGATAAACTTTATACCATCTTGAAAGATAATGTCAAATTGTAAAACAGTACTTTATTCGAGTTATATGACTTTTGTATGTACATAAATATACGTATATACACGCATGTAAAAGTAAGTATAAACGCGTACTAATACATTTTACTATGTACATGAGTATATGGATATTTTCTATTATTTTAGTATTGGTTAGAAGTTATATATGTATGTATGTATGTATGTATATACGACAGCTGAAATACCCGAGTCTAGGTGCGTGTTTACGAGGTAAGAAAACCTTAGTAAAATAATACGTCGTTAAACCTTATGTCGTTATAAATTCTTATCTAAGCGTTTATTAGGTTAATAAACTTTAGATACGCTAAGGGACATTGTATTACCTTTATTAAGATATAATTCACATGATCATTTTCTTACTTGTTTTTACTTGAGAAATGAGTAAGATAATTTGATATTAATATTCTTCTAATCATATTTTTTTCTGGGGGAAGGGTTGAAGGGGGAGGGGGAGGGGGAGGATTTTCTTTTCATTAATTATACATTTGTAGTTTAAATTAGATATTTTTACAATTAATTTTTAATTTGACTTATCAAAATTTCGAATTCATTATATACGTATATAATTTTATTTATATATACGTTTGAATAGAAAGAAAATATGTAACGATAATTTGCACAATACACGAGCATATAAATTGTGTGTTATGAAAAATTTAGTGTGCGCATTTTAGAAAATAAATTCTATTACGTTGGATATTTTTCTATCCGTTGAGAATTTATTTTCATCTAAAAAGAAAAAAAAATATATAGACGAACGTACATGGAAACACACAAGTAGAGAGTTAGTATATGGGATATCATCTTTCGACAAACTTCTTTAAGGTGAATAAAATGAGCTCCGTTGAGCCTATGTTAGTAGTACATAGTAGTTATTTTCTCTTTCTTTCTTTCTTCCTTTTTCTTTTTTTTTCTTTATTTTTCTTCTCATCCTTCATTCACCCTCTGTCTTTCTATCCTTTCAACGACAAAAATTCTTTTTTATCGATTTTCTACCACACAAGTCGGGCAAAGTCGGTCCCCTCTCTTACTATCTTCTCAATTTCGTTTAAGAAAAGTATTTTTCATGTAAAGTCGAAGCATGTAACTTTAAACTAAGCAATGCAGAAAACCTCTTTTACGTTACGTCTTATCGACGAAAAATATTTTCTCTTTCTACGAACGTTTTATCGTGAGAGAAACATTGAAAGAATATATCGAATGACGATAACAACAAGAACACGTAGAGAAAAATAAAATGAAAGGGTAAGGAAAAGGGAATAGATATGTTATAGATTTAAAAAAGAAAAAAAAGAAAGAAAGGAAGAAGAAAAAAGGATTCTTTACATCTTCGCGATTCAATATTTGTACTTACATACCTACCAGCATAAAACTTTCAACGTTTACTCTAAATATTATTATTTGTAAAACGAATCCAAATATGTGATAAAGATAAAGATAAAGATGAAAGGAGATAAATGTTTGTCGAATTGTAATCCATCGTTTTGTGTATATATATATATAAAGAAAAAGTGTTCGTGTACATTTCTATTTGATTTCTTTCTTTTTTACTTTCTTCTTTTAATACTTTACATGTGAGATTTATTTCCCTTTTTTTTTTTATTTCTTCCTTCCCTTTACTCTTTGGATTATTTTATTAATACTATTATGTATAAATGACGTGTGACGTGTTCTCGAATAATCTTTTACTTGAAAGAATGCCAATACTCAATATCATTGTGTATGCCATGCTTCATCAAATATATTAAGTTGTTCGGAAAATAATTTTATTTCACTTTTTTTTTGTTTGGTAAATAAAGGATTTTCATATTTAAAATTTAAGCCATTGGAAATTATGATAAATTGTCAAATTTGATAAATTTAATTCTTTCAAATATTTCTAGCATTGTTATGCGATAATTAGCAGCTAACATAACGTAGCATTTATCGTAGTTTATTTCACTGAATGATCTCAACGCGATGCATATTTTATATCGAAATTACCACACACATCTTAAATAATTTCGTTTTTGTTTTGTTTTACAGTTTAGATAAAAATAAAATAAAATGTTTAATAGAAAAAAAGAAGAATAAAAAGAAAAAATCATCTCCAAAGGGAAAATCTGCAAAAATGATACAACTAAAGTAGTAACAGAGGGGAAATTGTATGCCTTTCGTTAACGTTAACTACCAAGCAAGATTAAAGGTAAACAAGATGCCACATCTCGTTTTGTTTCATGGATAAAGAAATTCTTCCTCCTATTTCTCTCTTATTCTAGTTTTATTCGTAGTTTTTTGCCTTGCATACGTACAACGTGAATTGTTCTTTTTTTTATATCTTCATTTCATTAATTTGTTTTTCTTTCATTTTCACAAATAATGAAATTAAATGAGAAATATCTTTTATTGTAACTAAATTAACTAAAAGGAGAAACAAAGAAGAAGAAGATTTTTCAATGAATGAAAGTAATAAGGAATATAAGAGTGCGCATAATTTAATGGTCAGTATTTTATAGTACCATGTTATTATGTATGCATGAATGCATGGATGGAGAAATTGAATTGATAAATCAAATTGTTTTCGTTCTAGGATCATATTTTTATTACTTTATTTCTATTTTATTTCTCGTGTCTCTTTTTCATATTGATTGATAACAAAAATATGAAATAATTTGTTAAATAAATGATCAGTATACGTGGTTGAATTAAAAAGTATTGAACCTGACATAGAAAATAATTTTTCATTTACGTCAAATTCATTTTTATTTTTCTATATAATCTGAAATTATTTAGATAATTTGGAAATGTCAATAAAAATTGTTCAATAAATATCATTATTGAAAATACTGATCAGATTATTAGCCATATATTTTGTAAAGATTTCTTTAAATTATAGATCTCGTTTGTCAAAGAAGCTAATAATAATAATAATTTTATGTGCATACATATAAAATATATTTACGAGATGTAGATACTTTATAGTTACGTATAAAATATCTCTGTCAAAAGTTAATAATAATTTTATTTACGTAAGTATTCATACAGAAAATATTTGTATATATGATGATCTTCTATTTGCCTTAAGGCATATATGAGAAAAGTTCTTTTAAACGAGGATATATTTCATTTTCGAACGAAGAAAGCTCCAAGTTAAAATTTGAAGTAGACTCAACAGTAGTTGCACTTACTAAGATGCATAGTTTGCCTCTTTCCATCCTATCCCTTTTACCACTATCTACTACTATTCGTGAGAGGCAACATTTCCCATGTAAATTACTTCCATGCATTTCCTGGAAAATTTTATGCTCTAGCACAAATGGCTACGGTGAAACGTGAAAAATTAAATCTTTGTTTGCCCGGTATCACGTCCTATGGGGTTTTAATACCACGTGGAAGGGGACGGGGGAGGAAAATTCGAGATTGGGCTTACAAATGTATTCGATTTGTAGAGGGAAAAGAATAATACTAAAAATGTATATACGAGCAGGTTGCAGAAGCGTTTTTTTTTTTTTTTTTTTTTTTTTTTAAAGAAACAACAACATAAAGGAAATTGAATTTCATATGAAATCAACGTTTTTAGTTTTTGAAAGGGAGCAGAAAAAAAAATAGAAAATGTAAAAAACGAAAAGGATAAATCTATTTTTTACCGTCTACTTTCGAATAGAATATATATTTAATTAATATTTGACGATTTCAAAATAAATATCGAAATATTTTGGATGTGAATTATAGAAAGAATTTTTAATAAATCGAGCTTGAAAGGAAAAAAAAAGGGTATTAAAAAATACATTAAAATTATAAACGAACCTTTCGCAATTTTGTTTCTCTGTTTTTTTTTGTTCACATAAATAAATAAATACGTTTTATTTCGGTTCGATTTAAAATAAAGATTTTCAGATTACTTTGATAAAATTAAGTGATTCAAATTAGTAAAAAAATAAAAAACATATATTATATAAAAGTACTTTTCTTTGAAAACAAACAAACAAACATGATTTATTTTCGTTAGATCTAACAAATTAAGATCGAGATGATCGATCGTTGTTGTAAATTTTTAAGAAAGATATAAAAGAAAAGGAAAAAAATAAGGGGGAGGGGTGAAAGGGATGGAATCATAGAAACGAGGGCTCGTAATCGTTTTAAGAGGGTCAGGTCGTTCATCGAAGTGAAAAAGGTCGAGCGATGGTCAGCCAATGCGTGAGAACGAATGAACGACCTAACGAACGAACGAACGAACAAACGAGAAAGAGAGAGAAAGAGATAGACGATAGACCAAGCGGCTTTTTTTATCGTTGCCCTTTCTTCCCACTCGTTACGTCCTTAAGCCATTTCTCAACCCGTGAATCGATCGTTCGCCCTCGCGAGTATAATCGTGAAAGCGGTCGAGTGTGATTCCTGCCAATTGTCCGATTCACCGAAAGCTCGGCGCATGCGTTTTATACTCGTTTATACGTTCTGATAACGAAGAAAGTAGAAAAAAAAAAGATAAAAGGGTGAGAGAGAGAGAGAGAGAAGGAAAATAGCTTTCATTCCACTCGAGTGGATTAACTCGCTAATTGTAAGTGGAGAAAAAAAAAAGAAAAAAAGAAATGAGAAAAATTAGCATAATCAATCGGTCAGTAATATAGAATAAAAAAAATTCCTTTACTTCTTTTTTTGTTGTTGTCTTTTTATATTTATTATTTATATTGATCTTTTTTTTCCATCGTAGTTTAGTTAAAATTTATTTTTGTAGTATTAATATAATTTAATGTAAATAATTATTAGTAATTATTGCAGAGAGAGATACAGAGACAAGAATTTTTAATAGATGATAATAAAAAATAAAAATTTATTATTATAATAAAAATATTAATAGTATGATAAAATGAAAATGGATTTGTTAGTATTAAAAATTAATAGGAATGTGACATTAAATTGATTATTTTTTATTTAATTTAATTCTGTTTAATTATCTCTGTTATAAGAATATTATTATTATTGTTTTTATTATTATTATTATTATTATTATTATTATTAATTATAATAACAGCATATATTTACAAATATTCAGAATTATTTTTACTTTTTATTTCATAATAATTTTATATCAATGCATTATTGTACAATAATAATAATAGAAATTGTATCGTTGTAATAAATAATAATAAAAAGAAATTTTATTTCTAATGTAAAAAAGAAAGAAAAAACAAATGGTATAACAGAAAAGTCGAAAATTGTAAAGAACTTTTGAATGACTACGAAGGATGAGTCTGTTTCTCACTAACATAAGCCATTTCCTGAAAAATGCTCTTGCTTGTAGTAGGAAATCGTTGAAACTAGAACAAGCAGCGGTTTACATCTCGCAAAATACTTCCCTTTCGATCTTCCTTTCCAGAATTCGCGTGTTCGCAAGCTTCTTTTCTCGGTCTGCTAAATTACACGATTTCCGAGAGATTTCGGACCTGTATAGGATGCTTCTCACGTATCTTCTTGAATTACTCTAATATTTTATTGAATAATTCGAAGCTTAGATATAATGCTCGTACTATGTGGATCTATTTAAAAATAATTAATTTTCTTTTCCTTATATTTAAAAAAAAACCAGCAGATTTTTTTATTTCTTTTTTAGAGAATTATTTAGAATTCAATTAATTCGTGAATTCAAATCACTCGGTTGAACGTAATCTATTGATTAGAAATTTTTTTTACTTTAATCTTAATAAGCTTTATATTATCATTATTATATTTTTTATTTAAAATAAAAAAAATGCAGAGAGAGAGAGAGATAGAAAAAAATATTATACAATACTAGGGGTGCCTCGCCACACGTTGCTGTGGCTCACAATCAGTCCGATACACACGTCTTTAAGTCAACGAATTACCTTATACCGCCATCTGTTAGAATCTTATCGAACTAACAGAGATAATCATGAATCTTTGTTAATAAACAAATAATTTGCAATAAAATAATATTGAGATTATAAATTCAGATATAAACTATCCTACCTTTCAAGTTGGATGAAACTGCACACAGTGTGCAAAATTTTATTAAAATCGGTTCAGTAGTTTAGGAGTTCATTGCGGACAAACAACGTGACACGTAATTTATATATATATTAAGATTTATATGTAAAATCGAATAACATTTTTTCAATTACTTTCCCATTTTACGGATTTAAGAGATTCGTTCACCTTTAAATTCGTTTAGCAATAATCCTTACAGTTTACTTGCTTTAATATAAAACCGAGTTAAATATTTTCTTTTAAAAAATTTAAAGCTAGTTCACAAAAAATGTAAAAGCTGTAGACGACATTTAATATATTTTTCTTTGAAAAAAATATCTTTACATTACTTGTACGCTAAATTTTTATATAAAATTTTTCAAAATGAAAATGAAATTTAATATTATGCAAAAAATTAAAAACAGATATTTAAAAAAAGAAATAAAAAAGATTTAAACTTCATAAAGAACATAAATACACAAAATGTTTCCAGGGATTTTTATCTTTCCAACAGTTTTACTTTATTTTCTACGGTAAATTGCTAGGTAAACCTTTCCAAAGTGAAAGTCGGATCAAATAAGAGTTAACATCTAGTAGGATGAACGTGTATACTTCCCTCTCACAGAGATAGAAGAGAAATTAACTCGAACCGTTTGGTAATGGACCGATTTCCTCGAGTAATTTCAAGAAGACGCAACCATCTACTATTTTTCTTCGGCTTTTCCGGTAGTGCGTCAAGTCGACTTTTCCGACGTGCAACATCATGGTGGTGAACGGGGGGTCAAACAGGAGAGCAGGGGATGACTCGAAAGAAGAAGGAAGTCAAGGAAGTAAGACCGGTAAAGAAAAAAAAAAAATAACACGTACCATGTTTTTATTTTTTTTTTCCTTTTTTCATTCATTTCCTTTAGGAAAACGTTTTGTTCTCCTTCGAGAATCTACCGACTCGACCTGTTTTGGCATATTTCTTTCTTTATTTCTGTTAAGGTCAAAGAAATAGACAGAAATAGAGAGAAAGAGAAAATAATTCACGTTTTTTTCCTGGTCTTCCACACGGATATTCTTCTTCCACTTCCACTTCTACTTCCTCTCCTTCTTCTTATTCTTTTTCTTATTCCTTCCTATCCTTCCATCTTTTTTATTTTTTATTTCTTTTTTTTTCTCTCTCATGTGCATTTCCTTTTCTTTTTCCCAAAAGATTGCTCTCTCTCTCTTTCTCTCTCTCTCTCTCTCTCTCTCGTTGGTATACTTATCGCGTACGTTGAGAAAGAGTACGTGCTCTTAGAAAATTAAAGTCGAAGAAATTAAAGCGATAAAGCGTAAAAAAAAAAACATAAAAAAAAAAGATGAAAAAAGCGACGTATGGAAGTAATGAATACTCGTGTAGAAGTTTTCTAAACATGTATCTATAAATATATATTTATATTTATATATATTATACATAACGCGTAATATACAACTTATACATGTATATACGTATTAGATATATGCGTGTGTGTATATATATGATGTATTAAATATTGAATGTAAGTCAAGCAAAGTTTTTGAAGAGGACGCATAAATGTCGAACGTGTCTTTAAAAATATTTGCTAAATTTATTTTTTTTATAAATTTTTTTTTTATTCATTATCTTTATAAATCTTACTGGGTGTAATTAACTAATGATTATCGATTGGTTTACTTACCTTTACCGTAAGGTGCAAGAAGTAAAAGATTTACGAGAGCAGCACCAGTGTCATGACCCATTAAAGTGATCCTTGTTGGGTCACCACCAAAGGCACCGATATTTTCACGAACCCAACGTAAAGCCATTGCTATGTCCTTTAATGCTAAGTTTCCACCTGATCCTGTTGTCCTGTCTGGGAAAGGACGAGTTCTAAGGAATCCTAGAAATGATTTTAAATATATTTTATTATTTTTAATTTTATTTTATTATATATTAATATAAATATCTTATATTTATATATTAATATATTTATTTTAATATAATATATTATTATATATTTAATAATTTTATTTATATGTAATAATAATTGATATATAAAAATAACTTAATATATAAAATAATAATATTATAATTAATATATTTATATTAATATACTATAAATATTATTTTATATAATATAAAATTAATATAAAATATTTAATTAATATAAAATATAATTTATGTAATAATATAAATATTATATTAATTTTATTTTATAATAGATTTTTAATATTTCAAAATCTTTAGCATTACAACCGCTTGTTTACTAGTTCATCTTGTAAAGATTTTTAATATTTTATTATTCAATATTTTCTTTGTTTTAATTGAGAACAAGAATTTTAATGTAATAAAAATATAAAATTAATTAAAAATATTTATGTATTATATAAAAAAGAAAAATAGATTAAATATTTATTTTAATTTATAATCTGTCGATCCAGTAAATGAACTTTCATTTTACATATTAATTGTTACAAAACTTTAAAAATATAATTTATAATTTAAATGAAAATTATCAATAAATATTAACACGGGATCTGAGAATAAACAAATAATACGATATAATAATTCTAGTAAAAGAATAAAAAAAATAAAACTAAAAATAAAATAATAAAAATATATATATATATATAAAATAAATAATATTGTAATTTATACCTAATATTCCTAAACGATAATTAAGCGTAATGACAATAACATGACCAGCACTGGCCAGTACAGATCCATCATAAATATTTCCTGAACCCCATTCGAAACTTTCACCGTGCACGTACACCATAACTGCATAGGGTGCTTCCAATCCAAGGGATCCTGTAAAACATTTTTCCGTTAAATCAACACAAGAAAACGATAATAAAATGACGATAAGACGATTATTGATAAATCATCGTAAACGATCATAGTACGAGAGATGAATCAGCATTTTTTTTCAACGAATAAAATTCATTTATAAAATTAGATCTCTTTTTTTTATATATATCTATCTCTATTTCTCTCTCTTTTTCTCTTATTCTCATGGGGAACGAAGTATAAGTAACATTGAAACGCATTAAGCTATTTTCACTTGGAATATAATTTTGATTTCTCACGAAGGAAAATGGAATTCTATTATTCCCGACTATTCTGAAGATTTATCATTAAATTTTATTGGAAATTGAAATTCTTAACAGGAATTTGAGATATCAAATATGTCGATTATCGATATATGATTTGATATGTTTGATGAATTGTTTGATTATTGTTTATCTCTTTCTTCGTACATAGAAAAATGCAATTTTTTTTATGATTTCATTATTTTATTTTAAATAGTAGGAAAATTCAACTTAAGAGATATTTTTACGATAATTAAATTTTATTTTTTGTATCATATTTCTCACTTTTATATTTTTCAATTGAAAAATATAACTTTTCGTCTATTTGTTTAAAAAATATTCAATGTGAAAGTACGAGATATTTGAACAATAATCAAATTTAAATTTCGAAACAAAAAAGTGATTAAACAATTGAAATTTATTTACCGCTTCCGGGTATATATAAATTCAAAAAGAGACAATCCTCGCTTTGATTGGTCAAAAATGCTAGTAAACGTTTCAATTGTTGATATCTGCCGACAGGCATTTGCAATAAAGCGATAGTTTCGTTGCTGATGTCTGGATGATTTTGAGGACAAACGGAACCATAAGTTTCCGCCAATTTGACACCGTTCCAAGGTATCGGTGAAATTGGTGCACGAAATCTTAAATCTCCGATTGGTGGTGCGGCGTATGGGATACCACGAAATACTTCTACTGGATCCAAATGTTTGCTGTTAAATTCCTAAAAACATACAAAATAATACAAATATATTTAACACGTTCCGTGCCAAGTCCTTTTTACCTGATTTGTCATTCAGGCCGTTTAATTTGAATCAACCATTACATGTAATTATTAATTATTGTAAATATAACAATTAAACAAACTTATGTGCTTTGTTCTATACTGCATTTTGTATAATACATCAATATTTTAATAGAAATATTTTTGTACAGAATTAAATATGTTATAAACATATATTTTCAGTGCATTAAATAAATATGTCTAATGGTTAGTGTACCACCGGTAGCACACGTGGCCTGAAGAACAAGTTTAACGTGTACCACCGGTGGTACACGTGGCACGGAGCGTGTTACGTATATATTAAATAGTATGATAGTCATAATAATTATATTCGTAATTAAATAACGTGTAAATAAATTCTATCATTGTCACAATAATCGTAATTTATAATAATTAATATGATTATTAATGAGATACAAATTAAATGATTAAATTAAAATACACATATGAACAACATATACGAACAAAAAATATATTAAAAAATACGAATTCAAAGAAATTTAATGATTTGAATGATTTAAAAGAGATGCACGAAATAAAAGAAGAATTAGGAAATTGTTACGAGGAACGTAAACAATATAAAATTGAATCATAAATGATACAAATAAAATATATTGATTAATAAATTTCCCAGATTAATGTATTAAATGAATACATCGAATATCCCGTAGGACCACTTGTGTTATGGAATTTTCTCTAAAATTGGAAAATTAAAATAGATATTTAATTTATATAAATTGAAACACGATCCTGAAAATTTTCATGATATCATCAGTAGAATATATATGTAATAATCATTCATTCAAAAGCAAACTACGTTCATTTTATACGATGTAAACATATATGTATAAAAAGGTTGTAACCGAATAAAATTTAATGGTTAGAACAAGTGAAGTTAAAAAGTCACATGAAAATAGTCTCATATCCAATATACTAAATTAGTTCGATAATGTCATCACGTTTTTCTCTTTTAGTTAAGAACCATTTTTGATAACCATTCTCTCATTTTCTTTCTTTTTTTCTTATCATTATTTCTCTCCCTTTTACCTCTTTTAACTTTTTCTTTCTCAATTTTCTCTATCTTTTTCTTCTTCTCCAATTTCTCATCGAATGTTATATTTCTTTCTCTTCTATTCCTTCAAAATACTTTCCTTTCTCTTTAAATTTTCAAATCTTTCTCAATCTATTTATCTCTTATTTCTAAATTCTGTTCGTTTCTCAATTTGTTTTTGTTTTTCTTTCTTTCTTTCTTTCTTTCTTTTCCTCTCACTAACAATTCTCTCTCTCTCTCTCTTTGTTAATTGTGTTTTCTTTATTTTTAAATTTGTTCTTTGATTTTCTTAATTCTTACACTTACTTATCATCTCTTCTATCTCTTTTACTGTCACCCTTTTCAAACCGTATCCTTTTTTTGAAAAAGATAGGAAAAGTATGAAAAATAAAAAAAAAAAAAGAAGAAAAAAGAGAAAATTCTTCAGTCAGGCCGCTTCTTGAAAGCAATTATAGGCGGAAGGACCAATAAATCTCGTGTGGTGGGCGTCGACGTTAATTGCACCTTTCGGGTGCCCTTGGGGATAGGCGAGGCCATTGAAATCTCGACGCTTCGGCCTTGCATCCGGATGAAATCACGAATTCCCATTAACCTTTCGCGTCCTGGTGTTATTTGGGTGGGAATGAAAAAAAAAAGGAAAAAAAAAGTAAAGGACTTCTAGCGAGAGAAAGAGAGAGGGAGAGAGGAACCAAAAAAATAGGATTGACGAGAAAAAAAAAGAAAATATATTGAAAAAAAAACGAGCAAAATGAATTGCATTCGACCGATGGTCCGGCCTCTAACACTCGCCCTTTTTCCCTCTCCGCATCACTAAATCCCTTCTTTCTCTTTCTCTCCCTCTCTCTCTTTCTATCACACACACCCCGACATACTAGTTTGTCGCTCTTTGGCTAGCATTAAAAATTAATGGCAGCCACGTGGTAACCCCATAACCGACCTTTTCCTTTTTCTTCTTTTTTTTTTTTTTACGTGGGCGCGTGTGTGTCTTTATTTTTAAATTTTTTTTTTGCCATTTTTGTCGTTCAATTTTTTTCCCAAGGCCTCTACAACGAAGCATAGTCAACACCCAGTGTCGACATGCGTGCCGTTATTTTTCAACCCTTGGGAAAAAAAGGATGGCGTGTTACTACATTCTCCCTTTTTCCTCTCCAACCCTCTATCTTTCATTATTTTTTTTCTCTCTCTCTATATATATATACATACACGCACGTACGCACACTCTTTCATCAGGCATTTGCATTTTTTTTCTTTTTCCTGTGGTTGGCTAGTCATTCGCCAATATCCATGAACGGTAAACTCATCGTCCATAAACGATGAGTGTACACACCCCATCTTTTTCTCTTTCTTTATTGTTTTACTTTCTTCTTCCCTCTTTCTCTTTTTTTTGTTATTTTTTTTTTTTTTAAATAATTATACCGTTCGATCCCGCAACGATTAAAAAGTTATAATAGTAATCGGATTACAACTTTTCTAACGAAGGCTACTTCTTTTCTATTCTTTTATATATTTTCTTCTTTTTTTTTTTTTTTAATTCTTCATTCTCTCTTCCTCTCTCTTTTTTTCTTTCTTTCTTTTTCTTTCCCTTTCTATAGCTTTCTTTGTTTTCTTTTTTCCTCTCAAATTTTCCTCTCCGATGCTCGCAAACTCGATAGAGGAAAGTTCAGCAACGGTTTTCCTATCTTCTTCGTTCGGCCAAACTCGTTCACCCCTGGAGTATAATTTTAAAGGGTGGCCTTAGGTCGAATCACCACCACTGGACAGGTACCTATCCGATCGATACTACACAGAGTTACGTTCAACCCACCTCCCCTTCTCCCCTGCCCCTTTCTACTAAAAATGTATCCAACGAAGGCTTATATTTGTGGGGAGGATCCGAACGGAAAACGGAAGTTCTTTGACCTGACAGCCCCCAAAACTTCACGATCTTCCAATCGGTATTACCGAGCTTGCAAATAGACTGACGGAAGATTTAAGAGAGTGAGAAATTGAAATGGATATTCAAAGAAATTCCCCACATATATATATAAATATGAATTAAGTAGATATTTTAAAATTAATTTTAAAAAAATATAAGAATAATTAAAGTTGATTTTTCAATTGATTTTAAAATGAAATTTAATATAATATAAAAAAATAAATAAAGTAATTATTATTTGATATACATTCAGTGTAAAAAGAAATTCACCATACATTCATATATATATATACGAATTCAGTTGATATTTTGAAATAAATGAAAAAAAAAAAGAAAATATAAAACTAAATATACAGATAATTTTTCTATTGATTTTAAAGTAAAAATTAATGTAATATAAAAAATGAATAAATTAATTATTTGATATACTTTCAGTATAAAACCTATATGCATATGTATGTATATTTTTTTATGATTGATGTATGCTATGTAAAGATATACGTGTATATGTGCCACAGTAATTGTAAAAATGAAGTTGATAAATTGTAAAAATTGATTTTATAATTTATTATAGATACACAAATTATTTAGATTACAAATTAAATAATAAAACGCATTTCTTTTTTAGCAATTTTCTTGATTTCAACCACTTCTCTAATTACCGATACACGTACTTATGTTTATGTTTGTATATATATATATATGTGTGTGTGTATTGAAAGGTCTGATTTCCTTGCTCGGACGTACACGCCTTGGAAACTAGTTTCACACGGTGTGAATCTGAAAGGGAGATCAGTAGGGCCACACAAAATCAAGAGTAACTTCTCTATGTACTCTAAAGACGGATGTAATTAGAGAAACGGACAGATAGATAGATAGATAGAGAGTAAAGGGGTGAAAGGGTGAAGGGGGAGGGGCGAGGTTGAGAGAAGAGAGAGAGAGAGAGAGAGAGAGAAAGCTTTCTAACGTCTAATCAAGTTAACTCTCAAAGCCATTTGTTACAATTACTCTCGTTGGTAAAGAGAAAGAGAGACAGAAAGAGAGAGAGAGAGAGAGAGAGAGAGAGAGAGAGAGAGAGAGTTGCTGCTATATATAGTAATAGTACTTATCGATAATTAACAAGAGTAATACGAATGAGTAGAATATACCAAAAGAAAAGTGTTAAACTAAAAGATTTTCATTAAGTTGAAATTAATTATCTATTATTTAAATTTAACGTAGTCTACGATTTTAATAAGTTAAATGATAAAATAATTAATGTGAATGTTTGATAATATTATTTAAATACCATCATCACGTTGACGAATATTCTTTAATTATATTCCAAATGATTAGTATGCATGGTTCAAAGTAGAATATAATGAAATAGATATTATAGATAAGATAGTAATTGAAGGGAAAGAAAAAGTAAATTAGGATAAGGGATTCTAATGAAATTCTATTTCGTATATGATTGTGAAATTAGCTTACATTTAGATTAGATATTAAATATCAAAGTAATTTATTAATATTACTTCATTTAATAATTTAATATTATCATTTTGCATATATACATATATAGGTATATATTTCTAATCAAATTGAAAATGTATGTAACAATAAACTAATTTTATCTTTTTAAATTGTTCAATTGTACTGTAATTAATAATAATCAAATGAGTGAGAATATATATAATATGTAATATATACAATGTAATATAATATGTATATGTGTATATACATATACATATACATATACATATATATGTATATATATATATGTATGCCGTGAGAAACGCGAACGATGAAATGATATTCAATTTCTACGTAATATTCAATTATTCTGAATATTCGGAGATATTATTCTATCATGCTTCTATATATAATTTATCTGTCTGTCTGTCTGTCTGTTTCTCTCTCTCTCTCTTTCTTTCAAAATCCTGGATTCGTTCAAACCGTTCTCTGTTCGTGTCTACGGTTATACGTAGGACTCAT